TAAATCCTAAACCCTAAGCCCCCTTTTGCCCCTGAACCACCCTGGAGCCGGTTGAAGCCAAGATGCGGAGGCTGCGGAAAAGATGGGGCTTGTTTCCCCAAAGGGAAGCAAGACTCCAAGCCGTCTCACCGCGCTCGTCCTAATGGTTTGGAGTTTAGGGTTCAATGTTCAGGGTTCAGTGTAAGGTTTGAGGATTGAATTTCTCTTATAAGGAGGGGCATTGTCCCAAACACATAGGTCATTGGGAAATACAAGAAAGTTATAACGATTTTTCAGGATTGCGTACAAATACTTTTGAGAAACTCGAAGAGGAATAGAAAGGGTTTAGCGGCTTGAGGTTCGGCATCTTAGGTTTGAGGGTTTGAACAAAGACAGGGCCAAGAGTGGACAGCAGATTACAGGCAGGGTACGCAATGCACCCTGACTACGGCCAGGCCCAAAACGCGACATGGATGGCGCAGAGGGCCCAAGCCATGGTGTGCCTTAAGATGGTGCGCTTGCAAGATGAGCTGGATGATGCTCGAAATAAGTAGATGGATATAGCACAGTTCTTCCGAGTAATCTAGATCTCACCGTGTCGTTGTGCAGATTCTCCTGATGCAACAGCTGAAAGGCCCATCTCCAGTCTTCATACAGAAAGTGAACACCTGGAAAGCAACGACCACAACCTTCAAAATAGTCAACCCAAACCTTCATAGGCCTAAGCCCTTCACTACACCCGACAACCTTTCAACTCCAAAATCATAAACCATCAACCCTACAAACCCTAAACCTTGAACCCTAAACCCTGAACCCTAACCCTGAACCCTAAACCCCGAACCCTAAACCCTAAAGACCCTGAAACACCCTTCCAGATAGCCTGGAAGGACAGATCCGGCTGCTGTGCCTTTCACAAGCTCGGCTGGAGGCTGTGTTTTGTTGGGGTGAAAATTAGTAAAGATAGCACGAATAATAGGAATACTAATAGTAAATCGAAATAATAAAAAGAATAAGAAAAAGAATAGTAATAGTAGTAGGAAGAGTAATAGTAATAGAAAATATAACAGCAACAAAAAAGTAATAGTAAGAATAGTTAGTAGGGTTTCGGAATATAAGGGCTCAGGGCCAAGAGTTCAGTGCTTGGGGCCTAAAGTCTTCCCATCGAAGGTAGGCATCTGCAATCAGCATTCGAGGCTCAAAATCCAAAGGTATCGCTTAGGTGGACCCCCACCCAGTAATAGTGACTATAGGGGATGATGGTGATTGTGTTGGGGTCCTGTTATATTCCTATTATACTACTATTACAGGGTGGGGGTCCACCTAAGCTATTGACGCTGACTGCCTTGCAGTTGTCCTAAAGAAGTCACCCTGACCCCAAAATCTCAAGCTACTTTCCGCATATAAGCTTTTCTCAAAGCTACCCCTGGCATCCTTGCGGGGGCTACGGTCCGTAAGGGCTCCCCTTTCCAGAAAGAAGACATGATGGACGCATGTTAAAACAGTTGGTGCTCGGGGCTTGTCTGTGGAAGATCCTATGGATTTAATTTGGGTACTGCCCCCACCCAGTAACAATCTATATTAGGGGTGCTATTAAGGGCTATATATTGCCATATTATTCTTATTATCCAACTGTTACTGAGGGAGGGCAGTACCCCAGATTTAATGCATTCCTTTGCCTTTGGGAACTCCCAGTTTAGATGATTCGGTTTAACGCCTGAACTGCAGGGGCCTGAGACCCCTAAGCCCTATACCTAAACCCTGCCCGCAACCTTAAACCCTAAACCCTAAACCCTAAACATTACCTATGTCAAGTCCGAGTCCCTTTTTGAAGTACCCTTTTTTCATGACTGTGGAATGTAGGACGCATAATGTTGGCAACTATCCTCTAAAACCCAATGTAATCCCAGTTTTCATGTTGTCTTTCATGTTCTCATCCATGTGACTTTTTACTGTTGGCAGGAAGATCCGTATACATTCCCCGTTTTCATGTCAGTTTCCATTCTCTTTTCCATTTGATTGTCTACGATTGGGGTAAGATCCTTGAATCCTAAAACCTTAAACCCGAAATACAACCTTCCACTTTCTTTTCCATCCCTATATTGGTCCTTACGTCGTATCTTTTTCACTTTCTGGGTCCTGGACCAAAAGGGTCTCGACACTGGCGAGGGAGCCGCTGGCGACAGCCCACATCAGAGCCGTCCCTCACTAGATATGGGTGGTTGTCAAAATTATGGTCGCTTTTTGGGTACCCTACATATTAAGTGCCGTATTATGATAGGGATCCAAAAAGGGACCACAATTTTGACAACCATGTGCGTTGCTATTGGGCGGTGTGTCAGAAGAAACATGAGCATTCAGAATCCAATTTCAACAAAACCTGATTGGCTTTTCATGGGATGCTGAGCAGTAAACCAATACACAGTAAAAGGCAGCTTGAATTCAACAAAACAACCCTTCTCATCAGCGCTGGCTGCTTCTCGAGTTCTACAAAGTAAGGACTGTCAATTCAATTGTGGGGAATACATGGGACCTGCAGTTCAAGAAGTATCGCATGAATGTGTTGAACAAAGGCTCCTATGTAGTCAACGAAGAAGACCCCATACTCCTCTTACACTTCCCAGATACCGCCAGCATCCGCAAGGGTTCTCCTACCACATGGCTACCACATTATGTACAAGTGAAGTGTACAGGCTGCTGCCAAATATCCCCGATATCCAGAACATCACAAACTGCACTACAAACCTGCATAACTTAAGTGTTGGGTGCATTGGTGATTAGTAGGACATTCAGGAATGGAAAGAACATGAAACCTGCTTTGGGCTTAGGGTTTAAGGCTTAATCTGCGCTCAGCGCTTGTGGATGTAGTTGCTTGCAAGATTCTTCCTTTCCGGCACTGCGCATTGAGGTCCAGCCCAATCCTGCAAAACATTGGACAATACTGCCTCCAACCAAGGAGGTGCCTATGTTTAACATCAGCATGGACTGCTGCTTTACTACTTGTATGCTAGAGAGACTCTATATCAGAGGGCTTCATATGAGCTATAGTCTAAACTTCTATATAATCCCCTGCAAAACCCCCTTTGAGGAGTTTAGACTAGAGCTCATATCAGGACCTTCGGAGAACTCGGCAGGCCTTGGGGATGTAGCAGAAAAATCTCTACCAGCTTCCCCTTGGAGGTTTCAATATTTAGGGTTTAAGGTTTAGGTTTTAAGGTTTAGGGTTTAAAGTTTAGGGTTTAAGGTTTAGGGTCTAGGACTCCATATCCAGATGCACATGATGTCAGGACGTCAATGGAATACATAGCTTCAGAAAAGGCACAGGTTTCATGCATGGTGGCTCTTGTGTAAACCTACGAATGAACGTAGCAGGCGGCGCGCAATTGCAAAGAAGATTCGGACACAACTATATTCCAAGCTCCAAATATCTAATTTGTATGTGACACAAAACAGCACAGCACATCCTCCCTATTCAAACCTCCCATTATCTCTACAACACCCTCTGTGATCCAACCTGTGAGCCCTGTGCAATCCTTCCATGATCTGCGACTCTAATTCCCAAGAAATCCGGCCCATGCTGACCTAATGGTGAAGACCAAAAAAGAGAGAAGCCCTGCTACAAACCCTTGCAGAACCCCCTATCATGAAACATACCCGTTCTTACTCGGGCTTAGTATGGAATATACGATATGGAGATTTTTCAGGGATTATTGTCCCTACTTCCCTACCAGAGCGGATCCCTATTTAACTGAGCGTTGCGGCGGTCCCGAGATCGAGGGCAAAGTGCAGCAGAGCACTGAGGCAAACATGACCCGCGCTATCTGGCTGCGGGCCTGTCGCATGAACAAGAATGGAAGTAGGAACTTAAACCCGCAGCTACGTTTTCTTTTTGTCGGACCTCTTTTTCAGTTTAGGGTTTGGGGTTTAGGTGTTTTTGCAGCTCCTTTTTCCACTCTGCAGACTCGAAGGCGCGTTCGCGCAGCAACTAGTCAGGGTTTAGGGTTTACGGTAGCAGCAAGAAGCGAGACCAGGTAACACCAAGTGGAAGAAGATGATGATGATGATGGTAAGAATGCTCTTTGCACTTTTCCTGCGCACAGGCGTCAGGGCGGCGATTGGTCCCTGGCCTCTCCTCGAAACTATTGGGGCTTGGACTATCTTACTGGTTCCTAATAGGAAGTATGGAAATATACTATATAGGGGCTCATATTTCCTTATCCCCTACTAGCAACCCTTAAGCCATTGGGCCGTAGAGCCAGCCAAAATGTTGAAGCCCTGTTGATATCAACCTGCCGACCTTTTCTTAAAGACCTCTTGCACAGCAGATTGGTAATCCCCCTTTTGTGGAGGGACCCCATAAGAAGGACCACAGTATTTCCAGGTCCACATTAAGTAATTTTCTAAAATAAGGGCCCCAGAAATAGACTCCAAAATATTCGACTCCTTTTTATAGGGACCCTAAAAAGGGTACCCCTAATTTTAGGAAACCCCCATTAAGGTCCCCCTATTTACCTTTGGTGAAAAACGCCCACCTCTTTCGGCCAGCATCATCAATACCTGTGACACTGACACAGCAAAGCACAAGCGCAGCACGAGGAATGAGGGTTTGAGGCTTACTTGGAGGGTTACAACCTCTAGAAGCCATATAGTAACCCCAGTTACCCCCATTGTTCACCTACTTACTAAATCCCCCTGACCCTCCAAGGGACCTTCTGCAATTCGCGTTTCATGCCGTATCTCAAAGCACCATTCATGTTGGGAAAGCAAAGTAAGAGACCTTCTTGATCGGACATTGTATCTTGCCTAGCAAGATGCCAACATAGTTATCCGGTGGAATCGTAATCCTGTTTACACTAGCACTCATTTGGTCATCATCGCCATATCAACCTAGTTTCCATATAATTTTCCGTGTTATTTTCCATCTGGTTGCCTATATAACTCTTATATCCTCTTGAAAGAAACCTATACACCCTGATAGATACCGATATATCCCTATTTACCCATTGTTTGCTTTTCTGAGCCGCTGGCGCTTTTGCCCTCATTATTGCAGGTGTGAATGACGTTCATGGAAACCGGCAGCAATCGTTCAAACCTGACAGGGAAAACAGAAACCCAGAAGCAAGGGACAAACAAGGGGAAGGAGGTATAACCTATTATAATATTTCCATGTTCTTTTTCATTACCCCCAATATAACCCCAAATTTGTAGTAGTTTCCATTGTCTTTTCCATTATCCCAATATTTTCCATTGGGAGGCAGCAGGACCTTTTTCAGCCCAAGAGTCGTCTCAGCGGAGCCACTCTGCGCGGCCAACATCAAAGTTGAGCAACCATGATTGTCCAAGAGATCCTTGCGAAGTTTGGGAGCAAATTCAAGAGAAGGCATATTGGTTTTCGGATTCAGGGCTTATGAACATGTAATGCCCCTGGACGCTACATGACGCACTTCGCACCAAGTGGCGCAGACGATTCCTTCCTTCGCCAGCAGGCGGTCCACCACCTTCAACACGTCACATGGGTCAAGGGACAGCATAAAAGTTGCTGGCCCGAAACAAACATGTGAGCCAACTCCTAGTATCCCCCTTAATAACCCTTATAGTAGTCCCCTATATAATCCCTCTATAACCCCCGTTAAGGAGTTTAGACTTTAGCTCGTGTGGAAGCTTCTTCAGAAGCCCGCTGCATGCGCTAACACAAGTAGCCTCCCATCGAGGCTGCTCTGAAGAAAATGGGTAGGCCCCAAAAAATTAGGGGTACCTAAAGTTACTATAATGGAGAATCAAATGGAAAAGAAAATGGAAAATGAAATGGAAAGTGGGGATATATAGGGGATTATAGGGGTTAGGGTTTCCCAAAATTAGGGGCCCCTTTTTTGGGGGTCCCTATAATAAGGACTATAGTATTTTGGGGTC